CTAATTTGCCTGTTATCTTATATCTTCATTAGTTTTCTTGTTGTTGAGACAAGTTACCTGACACCCAACATTAAAGAAGGAAAGGTGTATTTATCTCACAGTTTTTAGAGATTTCAGTATGTAAGTTCTTTACAAGTGGTGTGAGAAAACTGAATATGCATATACAAAGGATGTAAGTAGACCTGAATTTCTCATCCCATACAAAAAAAAAAAATCAAACAGGATCAAAGATCTAAATATTGGGCTGGCCAAATAGCTCAGCAGATTAAAATGCCTGAAAGCAGGGGCTGGGGGTTCGACCCCTGGACTTGCCATGCAGGCCCCAGGATGCCCTGAGACAGCAATCGAGACTGGGCATGGCAGCACGTGCCTGTAATCCCAGCTCTTGGGAAGCTGTAAAAAGGCGTATCACTGCAAGTCTGATCTAGTAGTGAGACCCTGAACACCCTGTAGACCTTCCCCTAAAATACAGAGATAAATAAATAAATAAAGATCTAGATATTAAAACTCAAAAATTGCTGGATGATGAAATAGGGAAAACACTTTAAAACATAGACATAGAAAAGAATTTCCTGAACAGAACTCCAAGACCCCAAGAGACAACAATAAGAATTAAAAGACAAGATTCTCATAGATTAAGAAGCTGCACAGTAATTGAAGCTATCAACTGAGTGAAGAGAAAACCTTTACAAGAGGAAAACTTTCCAGTGAATATTCTGATAGAAATATATCCCCTTGCATATATAAAGAATTTAAAAGAATTTGATCCCCCAAACAAATAACCTATTCCAAAGATGAACAAATAAAGTAAATAGATACTTCTCAAAAAAAGTAGCATAAATGGGGAAAAGGAATTAAAAATGTGCAATCTCATTACCCATTAAAAATGCTAATCAAAATAACACTGAAGTTCAGTGTTACTCTAATGACTATCATCAAGGGCTCAAAACTAGCACATGCTTACAAAGTTGTAGAGAAAAAGAAACTCTTTACATTGTTGGTGAGAGGATTAACTAATAGAACCTTTATGAAAAACATTGTCAAAATTCCTCAAATAGCTTTAACAAAAGTTACTTGATTTGATCCAGTTATATCTCTCTTTGGTGTTTTTTGAAAGAATTGAAGTGATAATTAAATTGAGACACCTAAGCCAGGGGTATACCTTGGCTGTCTAAGCGCTTGCCTGGCAAGCACAAGGACCGAGTTTAGATCCCCAGTACCAATGTTGTGCTGGCCTCTCGCCGAGCTAGCCACCACAACCAGGCGTGGTGGCACACACCTGTAATCCCAGCACTGGGAAAGCTGAGACAGGAAGATCATTATGAGTCTAAGCTGCATAGCAAGACCCTGAAGCAAATAAATAAATGAATTAATTAATTAAAATATTTAAAAATAAATATAAATAAATAAATTGAGATACATACATATCCATGTTTGTAACTGTAAAATTCAGTTATCAAACTATGAAAGCAATCAAATGCCCAACAACAAATGAATGAAGAAAAACTATAATATAGTTATGCAATGCAGTATTAGACATAAAGGAGAATAAATCTGAAGTTTTTCATTGGAAACTGGATAGAACTTGAGACCATAATTGTATGTTTAATACGTCAGAAGTAGAAGATTAATTACCTCATGGCTTTTTTTATAAGAGAATGCCAAAATATAAAGTAGTTAAGGAAAAAAAGAAGAGATGGTAGACAATAGGGGAAATACATAAATAGAACAGGAACATGGGAAAAGAGAAGGCTAAGGAAAAGGAAAAAAGTACATCAAAAAAATCAACCTATGGTCTATTGTTTTAAAAAATAATTACAATCATCATGTATCACAAATATATGCTAAGTAAGTAAGAAAGAATATTCACATAGCTTGAACACTTAATATAGTTTAGGTAAAGTTTCTCTCAGAAATTACTTGAGTACCACACTGCAGGGTGGGCTGAGCCAGCCACAAAAAAAAAAAAAAAAAAAAAAAAAAAAATTGTCTTAAA